CCCCCCCCCCCCCCCCCCGTGGGACGAGCACAAAATCACGGCCAAAGGTCTGACACGGCAATTTCAGTGTAGTGGGAGCAGCTGGAAACCAAAAATATGTTCTTGGTTCAGGCTGCTTTCACCACACTGAGATTGTGACGCATCCTTCCTAAATAGTGGCCTAGTACAGGGGCGGCTCAAGTGGTTAAGACACTGAACTGCAGGCTGTGGAAGGTCAGTAGTTCAGCAGTTCGAGACCCGAGTGTGCCGCATGACGGAGTGTGCTCCCGTCTCTAGTTCCAGCTCCTGCCAACCTGGCAGTTCGAAAGCAAGAAATTGCAAGTGGAGAAATAGGTACCACTTCAGTGGGAAGGTAACAGCGTTCCGTGCGCCTTGGTGTTTAGTCATGCCGGCCACATGACCACAGAAACGTCTTCGGACAGCGCTGGCTCTTCGGCTTGGAAACGGAGATGAGCACCGCAACCCTAGAGTAGGACTCGACTGGCTTTCGAGCAAGGGAACCTTTACCTTTACAGGGGTGGCCAAACTGCGACTCAGGAGCTACATGTGGCTCTCTTACACATATTGCGCGACTCCCGGCAGGGCAGCTGGGGAAGCGAAGGGGAGTCATCCTTTTTCTCCCTCCCCCCCCTCTTCTTTCTTTCCCCCTCCCAGCTATTTGCTTTCTTTGTTTCTCTCTCTCTCTTTCTACCTTTCATTCTCTCTCTCCCTCTCTCTGACAAATAAATATAATTAGCAAACAAATAAATATAACTGGACAGATAAATATAATTAGTAATATCTGTTTTTACCCCTTTTATCTTGGCATTCTCATGTAATGTTAATAAAAAGCAAATTTGCATATTTCTCAATAAAAACATGTGTGTCATGTCTTCAGCTCTCAAACATCTGACGTTTATTCTATGTGGCTCTTCAGTTGAGAAAGTCTGGCCATCCCCTGGCCTAGCACCTCAAAAAGTTCATAGTTCTGTGCACAAGAATCTCCAAACGCCCAACGAGAGGACTGGTCTGGGGCAGTTTTGTCCCAGGATATTAAAGGAAACTTGGAAGGCTTCCCTGTGTTCAGGAAATCTGAAACACTCTGCTTTAGATCCAAACTGTTAGGAGTGTACAAGAGGAAGGCTGGATCACACTTAAGACATCTAGAACATGAACTCCTCGAACAAAGAGCATATTGTCAGAGTCCAGCCTTACCAGTGACAGGAAAAACAAGCTGTTTGACACAGCACAGATTTACACACGCCACAGTCTTTGCCCCGTCAGACTTGAAGTCCCTAAAACAACACACACTTCAGTACAGTTTTAATGTTATCTGCTTACCTTGAGGAAAATAATTTGGTTGCACTAAGTAGAGGAAAGAATGAACCAGTCGAAACAGAATTTCTATTGGGCCAGGTTCAAAATAGGTGCTGGTATCGTATACCCTTGCAGGTACGTATCCAAAATCCAGAGTCTGGGAAGGCGGTTCGTATAAAGGCTGCACTTCGGAAATCGTAATCCCACAGAATAGAGACAGGAGCAGGAAACAGAGTTCCCCGGCCATGGCTGACAGCAATTCATAAAATGAGGTAGTAGAAACAAAAAAAATCACTCTGAACCAAAAAAAAATATCACTCTTCAGCGCATTAACGACAGCGTAGTTGGCAGCAGAAAGATCGGTCAAGGGGAAAAGAGCCCGTCTCGACAATCCTTCATTTACTCCCGAACTTGCGCTCACTTCTTGGTACTTCCTGGCCGCTTTTCACACTAATCAGCAGTCAGGGCTCCATCTCTGGCAAACAGAAGGGGGGGGAACAGCTGTTTAGTAAGTGTCATCTTGCCCCAGGAGGGTGCATAACAACAGCGTGAAATGAATGCAATCTTCTATGGAATCTGAATGCATGCTTCCCTGCCGGCGCAGGCGACCAATTCCTGTGCGATGCATTTGCAAAAACCAAGTTGCATTTTATTCAAAAGGGGGGTAGGGAGGAAAGGGGGGGGAACGATTATAACTTCTACACAATTTTGAAACAGAAGCAGAGAGGAATTGCGTTTAAAAACAAATGTTTCCCCCTATCGCAGTGGTAACAGGTGATTTATTCTGGGGGCTGGATCTGGCCTTATAGTTTCGTGCACATGATTCCAAATGCTTAGACTCAAAATGTACTTTGTGTCATGCGTGAATGCCTGCACTCTGTGGCCCACGACGGCTTCCAGATGTATGTACTGAACATAATCAAAAGAAATGCAACCATTCTAAAATTTCAAAGAACACGCATCTTTTTTATACTAAGAGAGTTCTCATTAAACTTTCGCCATGCAGCAAATCTGTTCTAGTTGGGAGTCCATCTAGGAATCCTTGCATTTCGACTGTGGAAATCCAGAGCCTTAGAGAGGTTTGGGGGCATATCCTGAGTGGCCCATCATTGACATGGGTCTCTGTGGCTTAGAAAACACCTTATCATATTTTTGGGTATTTCCTAAGCTGAATACATCTGATTCAGCTACCGATATAGATGATAACCAAAAAAAGGGGGTGAAATTATCTGTATCTGAAGTAAAGTGAGCAGTGACTCACAAAAGCTCATACCCTGCTACAAATTTTGTTCGTCTTTTAGGTGCTACTGGACTCTTAGGCTGATTTCGCACTAGAGCTGCCTCGATGTTGCGCCGCCGTTTGCCCCGATGCTATTAGTCAATTTCACACCTGAAGCCGCAGGGCTGCATTTGACCCGCGGCTTCGCCCGATTTCCTCCACAGTTTCGTGATCCTCAAAAAACAAGATTACGAAACTGCAGGGGAAATTGGGCGAAACCATGAGTCAAAATGCAGCCCCGCAGCTTCGGGCGAGGCAGCTCTAGTGCGAAATCAGCCTTACTCTTTTCTACGGCTCTTTAGCCACTTACAGAAGTTTGTTCTTTTTAAAAATTCTTCTGCGCATGGGCAAGGAACAAAAAAGCAAGGGTCTGGCTGAGCTAGACTCCATTGCTGAGAGAAGTTTGGAGAGCATGTGGCTGGCTTCGGCTTCAGCTGCTGCTGTGAGCCCGCCTCTCCCACTGCCTGAGAGACTCTGCCGTGGACTGCGGCTGGTTCTGCTGCTGGCCTTGCAAACATGCCCTCTCCACACACTTCACTTTCTCCTGCAGAGATTCTCTGGAACATTCTGCTGAGCTTGCCTTGCCTTGCTATTTCCCCCCACTGGAAACAATGGATGGGGGCACCTTTTTTGGGTGCCCATAGAATCAGCTTCGGGCGAGGCAGCTCTAGTGCGAAATCAGCCTTACTCTTTTCTACGGCTCTTTAGCCACTTACAGAAGTTTGTTCTTTTTAAAAATTCTTCTGCGCATGGGCAAGGAACAAAAAAGCAAGGGTCTGGCTGAGCTAGACTCCATTGCTGAGAGAAGTTTGGAGAGCATGTGGCTGGCTTCGGCTTCAGCTGCTGCTGTGAGCCCGCCTCTCCCACTGCCTGAGAGACTCTGCCGTGGACTGCGGCTGGTTCTGCTGCTGGCCTTGCAAACATGCCCTCTCCACACACTTCACTTTCTCCTGCAGAGATTCTCTGGAACATTCTGCTGAGCTTGCCTTGCCTTGCTATTTCCCCCCACTGGAAACAATGGATGGGGGCACCTTTTTTGGGTGCCCATAGAATTGGACCCCCTGGTCCAATCTCTTTGAAACCTGGGGGTTCTTTTGAGGACAGGCTCCAGCAGTTACGCTGCAAATTTGGCGCCTCTATCTCAAACTCCCCCCCAAAACCACTGAATATACCCCAAGAGTAATGCTGCCTCTAAGCTGTGGAGTCTTGAGCAAAGATTCCACTTTGTGAGCTACTGGTATTAACGTTGTGAGTGAGCAATTTTGTTACTGTATAAATTAGTTTGCTCTGAAGTCATCCTTCCTGAGCTGAGACAAAAAATTGTGAACTGGAGGCTAAAAAATGGTGAGCTAGTTCACACTAACTCAGTTTAGAGGGAACACTGCCCAGGAGATTTGCCATTGACTTCAATGGTCCCCATAGGGTATAATGGACCCAAATAAACTCGGGATTCCCAAATATTTACTGAATCCAAATACCATAGTGATGAGGTTGGGGAATATCGGGAAAGACTGATATTTTTTCGGGACCAATATACTCAAATGCGAAATAAGCCCATTTTCCTTCTTGCACACCCGTCCCACCCACTCAGTACCCCCATTCTGCCCGACACATTGCCTCCTGAATTCTTCTGAAAGACAACTTCAAGATCAGGAAAAAACCAAAGCACTCTAAACTCCACAGGCACCACTTCTATTACCACTTTTTTTTACTGCCTGCTCACATCAGCTTCTAGCACCCTCTCTGCCAATAGTCCGTTGGAGCCCACCCATAGTTTTGGCACAGCCTATAAAAGTAGCCACTGAAATATTTAATATTAACATTTATGTGTTAAGCACTTGCCTCCCTCTTAGCTGTACAACTGTAAAAGACAAGGCTCTACCAACACGGGGAACAAATTAAACTTAGCTGTGGTCCCAACCAGTGTTGCCTCTAAGCTGAGTTCGTGTGCACAAGCTCACCGTTTTTTAGCCTCCAGCTCACACATTATTGTCTTAGCTCAGGAAGGAGGGCTCCAGGGCAAATTGATTTGTGCAGTAGCCAAATCGCTCGCTCACAACTTTAATGCCAGTAGCTCACCAAGTAGAATTCTTGCTCACACGACTCCGCAGCTTAGAGGAAGCATTGGTCCCAACTGCTTTGAAGTGGAATTCAGATTCATTCAAAATGAACAGCTGTCCGACCAGAGCATTCACAATGAATGCTGCACACAACAGAGTAATTCTGAGCCTTAAAGTAACTCCATTTTCTTAGGTACACATGTGCAGGATCCTACTTACCCAGCCAGTACAGCAGCTTAGATACTAAGAGTTTCATGGCATGGAAGAGACACTCTGTTGTCCCACCTCACATACACAGAAAACAAAAACTGAAAAAGAAAATGGGGGGGGGGGTAAGCAAAGGTTTATCCTCTATTAGCAATTTTTCAAGGTTTATCCCGCTCCGGAAAGTGATGAAACATTACAGTTGCATTCCACGTCTCTTCATGCATGTCTGTCCCAAAACCATTCACTCTTTAAAAAAAGAGAGAGAGAGAGAGAGATGCCAACTTCCATCAAAGCCAGGAGACATTAACCTTGAAGAGAATTTATGGCTGGCATACTGTTTAAAAGTTGCCGTCACACCACCTTAATTGTAAAAAAGCATTTGTGGCTGTGGTGCTGTCAAGTCGGGGCTCACTCCGTGAGGCTTTCAAGGCCAGAGACGAACTGAGGTGGCCGGCCATTGCCTGCCCTTCTGTCACAACCCTGAGCTTCCTTGGTGGCCGCCCATCCAAGTAGTAACCAAGGATGACCCTGATCTGCTTCCAAGATCTGACATTTGGCCAACCTGGGTTATCCAGGTCAGGGCAAAGGACATATCTATTTACTAAGGGTTCAAACCTATTTCAATACCTAATTCAGTCAAAAGAGGCCATTTGAAATGCTGCGCATGCATAATAAATCCTAATACACTCTCTGTGTAGTAGTTAAGTGCGCGGACTCTAATCTGGGAAAACCAGGTTTGATTCCCCACTCCTCCACTTGCAGCTGCTGGATGACCTTGGGTAAGCCAGAGTTCTCTCAGAGCTGTCCTTGAAAGAACTGTTTCTGTCAGAGCTCTTTCCGCCCCACCTGCCTCACAGGGTGTCTGTTGTGGGGAGGGGAAGAGAAAGGAGTTTTTAAGCCACTCTGAGACTCAGAGTGATGGGTGGGGTATAATCCAATCTCTCCTTTTATTTTATTTTATTCTGCTACTACAAACTAGTGTGGCCACCCATCTGGAATCACCTCAAGTTTGCAGGCAGGATGTCGTTGCTTTTCACGCACCGTTACTGCAGTAGGCACTCAAAGGAAGAGGGATACAAGTATGTGAAGAAGAAGGAGAAGAAGAAGAGATTGGATTTGTACCCCGCCCTTCACTCGGAGTCTCAGGGCGGCTTACAAACTCCTTTCCCTTCCCCTCCCCACAACAGACACCCTGTGAGATAGGTGGGGGCTGAGAGAACTCTGACAATAGTCTGTAAATGTAAAATACATTTCCACTTAGTGCCTGTTGGGGGAAACCATTGCTGCCAATCTGCAGGTGAGGGCTGAATATCACTCAGAATTACAACTGCTTTCCAGATGGCAGAGATCAGTTCCCCTGGAGAAAATGGTAGACTCTGTGTCCTTATATTCTGCTGAGATGGCCCCTGTATGACAGTCAATGTGACGTAACAGTCAAGGCTTCAGAGCACGGGAGAGGCTGCAGGTGTGTGGGGGATGGAAAGCTGAAGAGTGAGGGGAAAATAAAGGTAGGGTGATGATTGACTGGGAGGGAGATAGGGTTGCCAACTCCAGGTGGGAAATTCCTGGAGATTGGAGGGATGGAGCCTGGAGAGGGTGAGGTTTCAGGAGGGGTGGGACCTCAGACAGGTACAATGCCATAGATGCCACCCTCCAAACCAGCCAGTCCCTCCTAGGGAACCATTGTTGCCAATCACCAGGTGGGGGCTGGAGATCACTCAGAATTACAACTGCTCTCCAGGAGGGAGGGAGGAGGAGATGGAAAGCT